ATTAGTCCTTTGGACTAATCTTTTCTTTGTATCCTGTTCTCTTCATTCTCCCTTGCTCCCAAAGGGATGAGACCAATGGAGTATCTTAGATGGCCGCTCACAGGCTTTTAAGACCCCAGACACTACTCACCGAGTTAGAATGTAGAGCATTGTCTTTATAAGCTGTGTCATGCCAATTGAGCTAGATGTTTCCCGAGACCATGGTCCCCAGAGCCCTCCGCCCAGCAATTGAGTCCCTCAGGGAGTTTGGATGTGTCTATGGGACTTCCATGACCTTTCCTTGTACAAGTTGTGCTAGTTTTCCCTGTATTGTGTACTGTCTCACCCTTCACCCAAGATACCACTTATCTAATGCCTGTTTAGTATTTCCCCCCCACGCCTCCCATCAATGGCTGATTTTTATCAACTTTTAGTGAACTTCCTTAAGGCAGATATTTCTAGCTTACTGCCCTTTGATGGAGAAAATACTTCAGGAGAATGTTGATCAATGTGTGGGAGCTTACTCATTCCAGATTTGTGAGATATTAAATCCCCTATTAAAATTATTTTAAAAATTCATTTGCCCTGTATTTTATAGTGGATGAAACATTCGTAGTCATGCAGAGTTCAGAATACACACGCACACACACAGGCACAAACACACTCTCAAATAGAAAGAGAGAGGGAGAGAGAGAAATGCTTTTAATGAGCACTTTTAGGAATTCCTGATACCATTTTTACCCAGAGGTACAATGGGCTGGATCTTTTTCATGCCTCTCTCCTCTCTCTCCTAGTTGGCAAGAGAGGGAACATAAGTATTTAGAACCCTGTGGAGACTATCATTTAACCTGAGCTGAGACTGTTTGCTTTATTCTTGGGCTCTGTCTTATATCTAAAATATTCCAACCAGTTGTCTTATAAACAAATATTAGCTTTGGAGAGAAGGATTAGAGTATACATCAAAATGACAGAAAGGATGGATTCCAAGTGAAAATATTTAGTTTTCTCAGGTTAGTTTTCAGATGTTGTGTAACTGCAGTGGAAATAGAAATTGCATTCAATGCTTTCAGAATGCAGGGAAACAAGATCTTTCTTCTTGCCTTGAATGTGGGATGTCATTCATTTATGCCTTCATTTATTGAGTGTCTAGTAGGTGCCAGATGATTTGCAAGGGCCAAATGATATACTTGTAAAAGTAATAATAATAATACCCAATCCCTGTATTCAGGAATTCCGAAGAAGAAGACAGATTTTAATGTAGTGGAGAAGAACGATGTTATTCCAATAATTATAATTACAAACAGGTGCTTTGAAATGAAGGCAAACTGATGTACGAGAGCGAATAATTAAAAATGTAACTCATGCTTAGTGTCATTGGAAGGGATTCTTGAGGCAAAGTTTTGATATATAAAAGTCTTTGGTGATAAATGGAGTGAAACAGAGGATATTTCAAACAGAGGAAAAAACAAAGTCCTTTTAGCAAGAATGAGAAAAAAAGTTCAAAGAGCTGAACAAAGGCTAGTATGCCTGGGAAGCTCTTTGTGTGCTTGAAGATACTGAGAGAGATATCAATGACAGAGAGATTGCAAAGCCTGGACTTTGTGGGAACCTGTAGGCCATGCCAGGTCTTTTCATTTTTAGCTTAATGATAAAAGAGAAGATGCTAAGATTATTAAGAAAGGCAATGACGTCATTATGTTTGGGTTTGAAATGGTCACTCAGACTGTTTTGTGGAGAATGGATTGAAGGCGAACGTGCATAGAAAGTGTGAAGACCAGTGAGCAGGGAAATGGGGTAGTTCAGGTGAGAAATGGTGTTCATAGCTTGAACTATGTCAGTAGACTTGGAGAGAAATTGACATTTTAATGATAGGTGTAGATGGTAGAATTAAAATAATTTAGCGATGCATTTAACATGAAGGTTATGGAAGAAAAGTGATATCTCCTTTGTTTCTGGCGTGAGTAAATGGATGGATGAAAATCAGGGAAATCATGGCTTTATTTGGAAGTATTCATACTGTGGGGGCTGCTTTTGACTTATCAAGGTGAAGCTGTTGACTAGGCTAGTTATACTGATATGAAGATTGGAAGAAAAGAAATGTTCATAATTATAGCCTTAAACCATGTTGAGATAACTTAGGCTGAAGGCGTGGAGTCATAAGTGGCTAGCAATGAGATTTGATAAACTACCATATTTATGTACCATATTAAGTAATGGAGGAGGATTAACTTGCAAAAGGACTGAGAAGGAGTTGCCAGAAATTTGGCAGAAACAGAAGACAGATGTTTCATGGACTCGATGTAAAGTGAGCATTTCTTGAAAGAGAGGAATGCCCAATAGATGTCTAATAAGAATGGGATTAGAAATGGCCATTGAATTTTGTAACATCATTGGTTATCTGTAAGAGTGTTAAAAAGTCACTTTTATGGGCTAATGGGAGCAGACACATGAATAAAGTGGACTACAATAAGATACAATGATACAGCGGATACAATGAAATATACAACTCTTTCAAAAAATTCAAAGAAAGAGTAGAGAGAAAAGATAGATTATTTTAAAATATGTGTGAGTAGAGCATGTTTGGAGCCCTGGTATCCCAGTGGTTAAGCATTTGGCTGCAAACCAAAAAGGTCGGCAGTTCGCATCCACCAGCGCTCCTTGGAAATCCTAAGAGGCAGTTCTACTCTGTCCTTTAAGGTCGCTGTGAATCAACTCGACGGCAACGTGTTTGTTTTTGTTTTTCTTTTTCCTTAGAGCCATGTTTAAAGATATAAGAAAACAATTTAGAGAGGGACTTTAAAATACACTAAAGGGCAGGGTTAGTCAATTGATTAAGATTCGCAAGAAGTCGTAGAGGTTGAATTAGACAGAATGGAAAAACCCGCTCTGTTTTCACAATAGAGAAGGAGGTTTGTTGGTGAAATTGCTTACGTAGAATGTAGCTGAAATCAAAGCATACATTTATTTGCTTTGAAGAAGACGGTGTTTATATGATAATCAGTTTATGCTATTTTATTTCTCTTGTATATCCGAAATCGTTGAGCAGCAGAAAAAGTCATAGGACTTTTACTATAAACTATTTGTAAAGCAATATTCTAGGAAACCAAACCAAACAAACAAACCCCTTGCTGTCACTTAGATTCCAACTCACAGCGACCCTGTAAGACAGAGCAGAACTACCCCATAAGGTTTCCAAGGAGCCACTGGTAGATTCAAACTGCCAACCTTTAGGTTAGCAACCGCGCTCTTAACCACTGTACCACCAGGGCTCCTGTTCTAGGAAAGGCTCTATCAAATACTACTGGAAAAAATGCACTGAAGACACAATCAACACCTTCTACATAACTTCTGTTGTATTTCAATTTGTTTATACACTAAGTCTCTACCCGGAAGACTATCTTGTTAATCTCTCATCAGTCTTTACCAGATAATTATACTAGCTATCCTTTTGTTTAACATAATTTATCAACTGTATTGTAAAAGGAGGTCAAGGTATATAAACATGTTGATAATTGTGTTCACTATGGATGCTTCGAAATTTATCTGTCGTTTATTTTTTCTTTTCTTTCAACTTGACTTTATAAATTTTTTTCAATACATTTTTTATCTGTGCCTTTATTTCTTTGTCTGGATGAAACTACAAATATTTTATATGATCAAGGGGATATTCAGTATTTGGAGATGCTTAAATAATGTGATTCAGTTGGCAATTGGTAGCAAGTTTTCATCTATAATGATTTTTATGTGCTATTGAAGATATCTTGATTACTTTCTTCAACATACAACACATTTTCTCTGATCATTTACAATTTTTATTTTGACAGGTTAAAAGCAACAAGGATGTTTAAGTGCTGGTCAGCGGTCTTGGTTCTTGGGTTCATTCTTCTGGAATCAGAAGGAAGGCCATCCAAAGAAGCAGGACATGTTCTTAAATCCTATCAGCCTCTAGTAAGATTGCGGCACAAGGTACAGGCAACATTCTGAATCTGCTCAAAATGGGTAGCATGAATGAACTAAACTTCAAATTGTCTGGTTTAGCAACCATTTAAGAGCTTTTGATACGTTCCACATTAAGAATAAATGCACATTTTAAAACACAAAATAGTTGTAATTTTGGAAATTTCTTGACAAAGAATAGATACGGCCCATTTATTAAATAGATCTTTAAAATTTACATGAGTAATAATAGTGGATTTATAAAAATAAGTAAACGTTAAAATCTACTTGACCATATAGTTTTAATTATTTCATATTAATCTTAAATTTAGAAAATTTTAGATCAATAAAAGCATTATTTTGGAATTTACCATGAAAATTTTTTTAAAAAGTCTATGCTATATGGAGACATAAGTTGTTAAAAGATTAGGTTTTTTTTTTAATCGTTAGTGATTTTACTTTCATCAAAAAAATAAGTAACTTTGGGTTGTGTAATGTCGGGCAAATACTTCACTTCCTCATGTTAAATATTTCTAATTTCAAAGTAAATTCATATTCAAGCATAATATACATGTAAATTGTGGAGAATGAATAATAATAAATGAAGCTAGTGCGTTTATTTAGTAGCAGTTCATTATTATACTGCAAATATTATACTCAAGAGCTATTTTATTAAATCAAGCATTTACGATAAATTTTAGCTCTCAGAAAAAGAAAAAAAAACAAAAAATGATGGGCTAATTTTGGGAGAAAATAGTATATATTTGTAAAATTTATTTTGATACCTGTCTTTAAAGATATACATTGAAATAAATAAATACAGTAAATTGATTTTCTCTCTCTTACAATCAATGTATGCAATGAAAATGTATATTGACATTTTCATTGCATGTATTTTGCTAAGATTCTTTCATAAATACCATAATATTTTGATAAAATAAGTAACATTTATTGAGATCTTTTAAGTTTCAGACACTAGGCTAAGCTTTCAAATGTATTATTTTACTTAATCTTCAAAGACGTCCTTATTTTCATTGTATAGATTATATTAATGCTCATGCTTATTAAATATAATTAGAAATAACATGCAGGATAGACCTAATAGAAAAAAAAGTAAAATGTAAAAAAATACTTCAGTATCAAAAATAATTCTATAAATTCAGCGGCATGTAGAACTAAATAAGTCACTAAGCATTGGAATCTGTATAAATAAATGCAATTGGAGGATCGGTCTTTGTTTTTAACCTCTATCTCAACTGTCAGTGATGTCTTCTGTCTCATGAACTATTGTTCAATTTTATCCCCAACTAAAGCTTAGGAATACTAATTCCTTTATGAGTGCTCTCATCAAACATGTTTAGTATAAGCTTCCAGCCCATAATGTTACATGTCCAGTGAAGACTGATTTTGTACAGTTTCTCTGCCCAAGTTACAGGTGTCTTGAGGTTGGGAACTGCCTTTCTTGTCTTTTCATTCCCAGTGCTGTGAACATATCCCATATTGTTTAACTGAATTGGTCACAGAAAAATGGGGCTAGAATGCATGACTATGCTTTACTGATTGTTCCCCTGCAAGATAAATATAATACTATAGGTTTTTATGTGTTTGTGTACATTTATAAATAACCCATTTTGAATTAAATCTGAATGGTAAAGATAAACTACTTGTCATACATTACCGTGAGATTTAATAAATCTTTAAAGAAAAAACAACAAATGAGTTAAACTTGTTTTAGTAACATTATCACCCTTAAACTAATCTAAAATCACCTCCTACTTTTTTCCAACTTTGTAAGACTTTATCTATAAATAATTAGAAATAATACCTAATCATTGATATTTAAAAACTCAGGAGACAAAGATTTTTATGGTAATACTAAATTTTTAAACTGCTTGGTACAAAAGCGGAGATGAAGCTCTACAAGACATTTGGTGAGTCTTAGGGGTTGTGTGTGTGTAAGTGTGCTTGTGTGCGTGTGCACATGCATGCACGTATGTGAGTGTGTTAGAAAGTGTGTACTTGACAGAAGGAAAGAAGCACCCTGAATTATGCAAGTCTGTTCAAGAACTCCACCAGACACTTTCCACTCGCTATCAGCCCCACCCTACAAGTACCTGTCGTGATACCTTGAAGACTATCTCATTATAGCCTTTATTTTTGCTCTTGTCAGTCACTTTCCCAGATATCCTTGATCATCCTTTTTCTGCTGACTTCTATTCCTGTTAGGTTCATATTCCCCTTTATTGGTGACACCTTCCCAAACCAGGAGTGAAAACGGAGCACCTACAGGCATTCCCTATCTCCCCATTTTCCCTTGCTTTATTTTCATCTACATAACCCATGACCCTCTGCCAAGATATGTATTTCACTGATTTATTGGTTTATTGGCTGCTTCATTTCATTAGGATGTGAGCTCCTATTTATCTGTCTAGAATATAGATAAAAACAAAACAAGATAGAAATAATTATTTGAATTTCCATAATTAATGGAATATCTAAATCTTATACTTTCCTGTCATGTTATTGGGGCCCTGGTGGCACAGTGGTTAAGAGCTCGGCTTCTGACCAAAAGGTTGGCAGTTCAAATCCACCAGCTGCTCCTTGGAAACCTATGGGGCAGTTCTACTCTGTCCTATCAGGTCACTATGAGTTGGAATTGACTCGACAGCAATAAGTTTGGTTTTTTGGTTTATCATGTTATCATAATAAAATCAACAGAGCAATATTTAATGAAATTTTAAAAGTGAATATATATATATATACGTTAATAGAATTGCATAAATTAATTTCCTTTCATTTATTATTTTTTGATCTTACATAGTTTTAGATTTCAAAGAGTAGAAATGTGTATATTTTCAGAAGACTGAGAGAGTATATGATGGGATCTTCTAGTAGGATCAGGTTTCACTGATCTCCATACTGGTTATTGATTAGGAAATTACAATAATAAATAATAGGTACAATAGCTCTTGAGTTTTGATTAGCAAATTTCCACATTTTTTTCCTCAGAAAAAATATCAGTACACTAAATATTGACCAATATATGTATGGAAAACATTTGAACAATTATTTGAGTGCCAGCTGTATAATGAATCCCATTTGGGGAGAAAGAAATAAATTTGAGACTTTTGTCAGATTTCAGAGAAATGTTTTAGGTATAAATATAAATATATACACAATATTTATATCAGGTTTGCAACCACATGTGTGAATAAATGATATTGAATATTTATTTGTCTATACTTCAATATAAAAATGAATAACAAATAAATACATCATGCCAATTTTAGAAATTTTAATTATAATTTACAGAGATGTGTCTAAGGGAACTGATCCTGTGTTTCACCCAATGTATTTATCCAACAAGCATTTATGGAGCATCAGATATAGGAACTCATTAGCACTCTAGAACTGATATAAGAAACAAACAAACAAAAAAAAACAGTTATCAAATCCTAATTCCAAAAGTGCTCCATTTATTTCTTATTATTTTATTTAAACGTTATGTACTTATATTGTGCTTTCATTTTCTTTTACTCTTGTAATTCAACCATTTGACTCTCTAGTTATGTAGGGAATACTGTTAATCTAAATGCATAATTAAAACCTGAAGATATAAAGTAACTTTCCCAAGGAGAAGCAAGAGTAAAAGACATGATTAATGATACGAGTAAGGGACAGGTAAAAGTAAAGGTAGATGAGAGAGGAGGGAAAGAGAACTAGAAAAAAATAAAGGTGACAATGGCAGCAACTTGACATGGGTCTCAAGGAAAAGCATCTAATGTGCATTCAGATGGATCCTTCTGTCCCCCATATGCACAACCAGAATATCTCTATATCCATTTCTTCGCTGGACTGAAATGAAGGTTTTCCAACTTTTCCTGTAGCTTTGGTTTAGGCCAAAGTGCCAAAGAAGACTTGGCGGAAAGCAGTAGTCACCTTTTCTATTGCTGGTGTGTGGCCATGAATCTGGGTGTTGATCATAATGTAGTCATTACTGATTGCTTTGTGTATTGGTGAGAAGGTTCCCTGAAGTCTCCCAGGTACTTAGCCATTTCCAGAATTGGTGTGAACAGAGGAGCCCATTCAGAAGTAGAGTTAACTGTGTCTCAAGGCATTTACTATATGCCAGATATTCTGTTAACTTTATTCTATACAGTGGGTCTGTGTGGCTAATAACCATCAACATAAATCAAAATCCCCACTTTGTACTTCTATTCTCACTGCTCATGCAGTCCTTCTTCCTCTGACCCTAACCGCCTGGAGCTATTCAGAGCTCATAATTAAAGAACATAGTCCTGCAAGCTTCCCAAGACTTCAGATGCCAGATGCAAGCTTGGATGTTCTCAGGGCTGCCTTCACTTCTGAACTGCTGGCTACAAATTTGGGGTTTTCCCATTACCCTTTAGGATGCTGGCCACAAGCTCAGGGGGCTCCCCATGCCCCCTTACTTCTAACAGGGTGGTTATAAATCCGGGGTTCCCTTTACTCCTTTAGGATACCAGCCATAAACTTGGGGTTCCCAGACCCCATTCACTTCTGACCCACTACTCTCTCTGATTCTATAATTTGCTGGAATGACTCACAGAACTCATGGAAAGTGTTAAACTTTCAATTTCAGTTTTATGCCAGCAAAAAGGATACAAATGAAGAAATGCATAAAGAGAGGGCTGTGAGGGTCCCCAATGCGAAGCTTCCATGTCCCAAACAGAGACTTACTACCCTTCCATGTGCGTAGATATTTTTCACCACCATGAAGTCCTTTGTAGCTTCAGTGTCCAGATATTTCATTGGGTCTCATTACATACTCTTGAATGGTTGAATCAGACCCTCCTCCCTGAGGTTAGCGGGCCACAGCCTAGCCAGTCCCCACTCCAGAGTTATCTTAGTTACCATAAACTCTCACATGTGGTCTGCAGACCTATAGATAACCGAGACACCCCAATTACTCCTGAAATCCCAAGGATTATTTCTCAGGAACGAAGAAAAAAGATCAAAATTACTCTGGGTAAAGTTAAATTCTTTACCCC